GGAGGCTTGACTAAGGAAGAACCTACTTCTAAACTCATTAGGTGGTTCACAGAGTTTATTATTTGTAGCTGTAGAGCTAATGGTGGCTCACTTCTTCAAGACCAGAAGGAGAATCTCTGTTCAGGAAAGTCCCAATCCTTAGGTCCACCCATGATAATTTCTCTTTGGATTAGCTTAAAATCAACAGATCTCAAAATCTATTCACCTTTGCTCTCTAAAGTAACCTGATCAAGGAAGTGACAAGTTACATTCTTTTGGTTAAAACAAAATCACAGGTTCTTCTTACACTCAAGATGAGAGAATTGTACCAGAGTGTGATTAATTTGGGGTCATTTAAGGGTGTGTTTCCCAGTTTTAATAATTAAGATAATGTGGTGATTGTGCAGGAATCGACATGTAGAAATAGATCCATATATATATAGATACATGAATAAAACACATCCATACCTATATGGACATGTGAGATGGCATTGTGGATGACTGAGGGTGACAATGAATGATTTTGTGACAACTGATCATGGAATTTAAGAAACTTAATTTAAAGAAGAATCAACTACATCTAAAAATAAAAACAAAACTTATAGACAAAAACAATACAATATCTTCATGATTTTAGGATAAGAAACAGATTCTCAACAGCACTAACAATAACATAAAAGGTTGATAGATTTAATTCCTTAAAATGAAGAATTTAATTTCATGAACAGATGTCATAAACAAAAGAAAAGACAAGTCTTCCCATGGCAAACTTTTTTTTTGTACTGAACATTGCTTGCTAATTACCAGGCCTTGGCTGGCTTTTGATGGCTATTAACTTGGGATATTTTGAAAGGAGACCAAGGGAAGATACCTCTGTGAGGGGGTTAGAAGACATGGCCATCAGAAGGAGAGCAAATTGGGAGAAATAACAATGATGTTTAAAAGAAATTCAGCAATTGCACTCCTGGGTATTTATGCCAAAGACACAGATGCAGTGAAAAGAATAGCCATATGCACCCCAATGTTCATAACAGCAAAGTCCGCAATAGCCAAACTGTGGAAAGAGCTGAAATGCCCTTCAACAGATGAATGGATAGAGAAGATGGGGTCCATATATACAATGGATAATTACTCAGCCATCAGAAAGAATGAATACCCAACTTTTATATCCACATGGATGGGACTGGAGGAGATTATGCTAAGTGAAATAAGTCAAGCAGAGAAAGTCAATTATCATATGGTTTCACTTATTTGTGGAACATAAGGAATAGCATGGAGGACATTAGAAGGAAGGGAAAAATGAAGGGGGGGAATCGGAGGGAGAGATGAACCATGAAAAACTATGGACTCTAAGAAACAAACTGAGGGTTTTAGAGGGTAGGGGGTGGGGGGATGCGTTAGCCGGGTGATGGGTATTAACGAGGGCATGTACCACATGGAGCACTGGGTGTTATATGAAAACAATGAATTGTGGATCACTCCATCAAAAACTAATGATGTATTGTATGGTGACTAACATAAAATAAAATAAAAATAAAATAAAAGAGATTCAAAGGAAGTTTTTGGTGCCTAAGATATAATAAATAAACAAAGTTATCTATGACATGGAGTAAATAATGATTTATAATAGTTCTTTCTGGAAACGATGCTGGGGTAAATTACGGAAGATGCAGCTGGCTAGTCTTTAGCTTTGAGGGAACTTTCTGTATCTTATTAATCTTTGTACTTCCAACTTCATGAAACACAGTATTAGCTTAATAAATTTTTATTTCATAAATATGTGCCATTGTGCTAAAAAATAGTACTACACATGCTCTCCCAAAAAGCCTTCAACGTTTTCACATATTTTTCTTTACATTGGCTCAGGAAACGCACACACACACACACGCACACACGCACACAAGTGAACTACTGGCAAAGAGCAACTTGTTCTTATAATTCCACTAGGCCCAAGATGACTTTTTTTTACCTTGATGGATCAAAGAGAAGCTTCTCAGTCCCTCCCCAACTGTTTCTGTTCCATTTTCCCCTGGGGAAGTGGGCATCAAGCACATTCCAGGGTGAACTCTGGAGACCTCCGTGGGTTCTAGATCCCTATTATCTGTCATAAGAGTCAACCAAAAACCCAGGAAACTTTGGTTTAGAAAGAACTGATCACAGAAAACCAAAACCATTCTTGTCCAGTTCATGAATTCCATTAGGAAAGCTGCACATTGATAAGAGTGCATGGGAAAACATTACGGGGGTGGGGGGGAAGCCTCCAAGGAACACAAAGCAGGAGCTGAGACTTCACACCCAAGTTGGAACAGACTGGGTCCATGGCGATGTGTGAGTGTCTGTGTGTGGGAATGTATCTGTGTGGGTATATGTACACTTACAGAAGCGGAGCAGATAGAACTACATTTTTCTTGAGCCAAGAGCCCGAAAACTAATGGCACATATAACTTAGGCATGTACTTGGCCACTCTGAAGAACTTTTCAACCACATGTTTATAGATATAGGGAAGGATTTTTGCTACCTCTGAGGGTTTTTGCTTCCTCTCCTTGCCTCAAGCCTACACAAACAAATTAAGTATATACTGAAACATGTGATGCATCTGAAAATTAGGACCCCATGGCCCCTTCCTTCCAATTTAGGATGAGTGGCAAATTGGCTATGTGTTGGTCTTGTGTGGGGCAATGGGCTAGAGCCCACAATTCCTCCCTCTCTGGAACTGCTTCTTGGGGAGTGTCCCAAAACCTCACCAAAAACCACTAGTTATAGGACCAGGCCCCAGAATGTGGCCCTGACAGTCCATCTGTCCTTCATACCTGATAATGGGACATTCAACAGATCTCTGAGTCAGGCAAAGGTGTATGTTGAGCACAGGTGTAGAGAGTCCATTTACTTTAGGTTGGGGGGAAGCATATAGATTTGCTAAAATGAATTGTGTGTCTGCTCTGAAATTGTCCCTCTTTATCTTTCTCAGAAACCTACAATGGTAGCTGAAGAAATTATTCAACTCTGGATATTCCATTGAGGCTGTGTTCATAACTGATTTATTATGTTTTGTTTTTCTGTCTACACTTGTTTTCTGCTTGGCTTTTAATTGAAATTTTATGTAAAAATTAATAGGCATTTAAGTATCACACATAATTCAATAATATTTCCCCAGGAAATGATGTAACTTGGCATTCATATTAGAAAAATATCTTTGTGTCTTTTGATTGCTTCAGGTTAATCATTCTGATTTCTTTGTACTGAAATGTTAATTTGCTTAAAATTTTAAGCCTTTCTTGGAAAATGATCTCAATATTGATGTTTCTATCAACCATCCTGAATATTGCTACAACAGAACACCACAAAAAAATTCTAATTATTGAAAGGCAGTTTTCATATGGGCTCAATATAGTCTCCCTGTCAATCTTCTTAAGTAAAAATGGGACTTTCATTATGATCTTTTCATTAAACAAACACTAATCAATCATTTATCATTAAGTAATATTGGTAAACAAGAGAGATATATTCTATAACCTAACCAGTTTATTGCTCTGAAAAATATATTAGCAATTATGGAAATGAATTAATAAGAGTTGTTGGGAGGGGCTCAGTGAGGACTTCCTGGTAAACTAAGTGATTTCTAAGCTGAGATTCAAAGGTGAATGGAACTATTGGGATGCAGGGGAAAGGAAAAGAAGAGCACCCTAGGCAGATGAAAAGAGATTTATTGATCCATGGGGAAGGATCTTTGTATATCTGAGGACCTGGGGAGACTCTGATGTCCAGAGTGCAAAGACTTCCTTTGGAAGGGGCAAGGGGCATTGCATACAGAATGGGCAAGGGGCATTGCATGCAGAATGGTATAGACCATAATAAAGTCATGACAATAATACAAGAGTAGCAAGATGCTAAGGAAGGATTATGAAAGAGATATCCTGATATTTGTGTTTTAGAATGATCCTTTTGATGGTAGGACATGGAATGGTCTGGAGTGGAAAAGGGCTAGTTGTTAGGAGATAGGTGGGAGCTGTGATAGAATCTGGCACTTGTGGGAAAAAGAATTAAGGGCAATGCAGGAAATGAAGAAGGGAAAAGGAGGAGTCACAGGTGGCTTCTGGATTTCCGCCTTGCATAGTGAGAAGGACTTGGGTTTGGTGAGAGAAGAGCAGGCATTGGTGTGGGGGAAGATGATAGTTCAGGTCTGGACATGGTGAATTTCAAGTGCCAAAAAGCTGAATCCAGCATGTTGAAGAGTGAAGGTCAGGTGGGAGAAAGGGGACAGACCTGCTCTCAACAGGAGGTTGCCTAGAAAGGGCATAAATAGAGATGATTTTGGAATAAAATGTCTAATGTATTTAGCGTGCACCCTCTCTTAACCTTTCAGGGAATCTTATGGACTCTCTAGTAACAACTCTTTTATGGTGTGGCTTTGCTGTAGTAGGAGGAAGCAGAATGTCATAAAATGATTTCTTCTCTTTGTGTCCTGGGTTGGCACAGCCTAACTGCTGGAGCCATGAAAGGAATCTAAGATCAACATAAAAATGTTAAATAAAATATAAAATACAAGGTTGATAAGCTAAAATCATGCTATAACATAGAAATATAAAACTGTTACACAAATTTATGTATTAAAGTTTATGTTTAGCTTTGTTACTATTGAAAAAACAAAATAACTATGGATCTGCTTGATGGATTTTATGTTACGCTTGATTTTAAACATGAAACATACAGATGGACCCAAGCAATAATAGCTCATTAAGTAATGGTCTATCACAGAATAGATGTGCATGTCTGTCTCCTCTATCAATTAATATGTTTGTTTGTCTTTTCCAGTGACCACTAAAATGTCTTGCACAGCCATGGATAAAATAAAGTTTATGAAAATTAAGTTTAAGAACACCAGTATTTTGACCTTTTTTCACAGTTTGATCTTATTGTAGTTGTATATTTTTATCCAAGTCATACATTTAACAAAATTATTTCCCTGAATTATTTTTTAATCAAAGAAAGTTGTTTTACTTTTGACAATATTTTATTACAGGTGATTATGTTGTCATGACCATATATTTTGAATTGAGTAGAAGAATGGGATACTTCACTATTCAAACATACATTCCCTGTATACTGACTGTGGTTTTATCCTGGGTGTCATTTTGGATCAAAAAAGATGCTACACCAGCAAGAACAGCATTAGGTGAGTTTCAAAAACAAAAACAAAAACAAAACTTTCCCACCATTTTGTATAATATTAATACAGAACTATTCATAAAAATACTTCCAGTGAAAGAGACTTAGTTCAAATGTAATTGATCTAATTTGAGGGCTCCTTAAACTATGCTTAGATTGTTTCAAGTAGTCAAGTTAGACTCTTCTTTCTGACAATAGAATTCCAAGTGTGCCACTTAAAATAAGTTGGGGTTAGAGATTAAGAACAAATCAATTGCATCATCTGATATTATGCTCTAAGGATGATGTCATCATAAAAATTAGTCACATCGTAGGAATCTGCCACCCTGAAAAGTCTCATTACAATAGTATAAAAAGACACAATTTTTCACACACTTTTGAGGACTAAAGACATAATATCAGTAAAATAGTCTCTCAATAACAAAAGTTCTGATTGTCTATAGCAACTTTATCATCAAACAAGAAAGTGATCATTCTTTTCAGCTGCAATCTACACACTAAAGCTCAAAGTCTTCTCATGAGTTTTCCTCTGACCCCCAAAGTCCTCTTAATAAAACACTAAATTCCAGTGGTTTTAGAATTGTGCAACATTTTTCTATCAATTTTTCTTTATGATAGGAGTATTACCTAACTTTCAATATTTTGATTTGTGAAAACAGATTATATAAGACTGAATATAAAGGTTGTTTTCCCTAAAAATGTTTTTCAGAAGAGGGAGCTCCCCCAATTTCAAAATCCTTGCAAAGTCTCTCATATTACATGGTGTTTTTTCTGTATTTGTTACTTTATTCTTTGTTCAACCAACTAAGTACTTTTTGATCAAGATAAACTAGCCTGTAATGCCCCCACCAGTGTTAGTTTTGCATGTTTATAGAAAATACATAATAGAATTGATAAATCATCCAGCAAAGTCACAACGCAAATTTAGTAACTATTCTTGGGCTTATGACTGCACAATTACAAATGCCAGGTGTCATAGTAAGCATCACTTGAAAAATCAGCTTCCAAACAGTATAATATGTAGTAATGGTTACACAACTTGAAGCTATGAAAGTCCTGTCAAAGAGTCACCACGGGGGCATTGAGGAGATAGAGATACTAGAAATACATAATGCTGGAAGATAATAGATTTACAGTCCAGAAGAGTGGAGAAATGTCATTAACACCAGAATATTTAGTTGAGACACCAGAAAAAGCTGTGCCTAAGATGAAAGGAGTACTCTAGACCCCCTCTAAATAAAGCTTAAACCAAGCCATAACAAGATCAATGAGAACCACCAGTAAATTAACTGTCATAAGAAAGCATTTAACATGGTTTAAAAAAGGATAATATACTTCATAATCTTTGTAATGTATCATCCACAATATTGAGTATGCAATAAAAAATAATTAGGCATTCTTAGAAGCAGAAAAATGTGACCCATGATCAAGAAAAAAATAATCAATATAAAAAGACAAATCTGGTGTTGAATCAGCAGACATGAGTTTTAAAGCCCCTATTATAACAATGTTAAAGGACTTACAGGAAAAAATAATGTTAATGAATGAACAGATGGATAATCACAGCAGGTAAAGTATTTTAAAAAGTAAACTCTGGAATGAATGTATAATAGTTGAATTGAAAAATTCACTAACTGGGCTTAATAGTAGATTGAAGATGGCAGAAATAAAAGGTCATGTGTAACTGAAGACCATCATATAAAATTTATCTAATCTTAAGAAGAGAGGGATAAAAAGATTTTAAGGGGTGCCTGGATGGCTCAGTCAATAAGCGACTGCCTTCGGCTCAGGTCATGATGCCAGGGTCCTGGGATTGAGCCCCGCATCATGCTCCCTGCTCTGCGGAAGCCTGCTTCTCCCTCTACCCCTCCCCCTGCTCGTATTCCCTCTCTCGCTGTCTCTCTCTCTCTCTCTGTCAAATAAATAAAATAAAATCTTAAAAAAAAGATTTTGAAAAATGAACAAAGCCTCAATGATCTGTAGGACAATATGAAGATGTATAACTATAACTGGGGTTCCATAATGAGAAAAGAAAATGAATGCAATAAAAAATTTCTAAGAAATTAGGTTAAAATCCCCAAATTTAGTGAAAAAATTCCTACCTACATATTCTGTAGACATGACATAGTCACCATATTTTTTTAAGTTAAATTGGATATTTATTACAAAATCATTATTTTTATAAAAACACATCTACCATCAGTGTAGACTTTTTACACAGCATTTTTTCCCACCTACAGTAAGGAGAGCCTGGCATTCTGTTTTCACTGTACTGATTAAAGAAACAGATTCAAAGAAGGTAGGTAATTTTACATGACCAAATGCTGAGAAGGCCCAGAGCAAGGCTGAGGGCTTTGACTTCCAGGTCAATATCATTTTACACGGGGCTAAGCTGTCCACCTTATGCTGTTAGCCTCATTCTCCAACTGGCCCTGGCTAACCTCCCTGAGGAGATGCAGGGAAGCACTGTTTAGGAGTTGTGATGCTCAGCAAAGGTGGGAACTAATGTGTATTTATCCATCATGTCTACCCAATCACGGAGTATTACTGCTAGGTAGATATTTTATAGTATTCTCATCCAAGCACAGAAGTAGTGAGTGTTAGGTCAATATTCCTATGATTCCAGAGTCCATGTCACTAGCCTGCCTGTCCAGCAGCTCTAGCAGGTTCTGATTTTACAGGAGCTCATCTAGAGGAGAGTTAGCCTTAACTCCTTTTGTATAATCATCACCCAGTAATTTCATTCTTCTTCACGTTAGTAGCCTCCCTTCTTTTTTTAATTTGTCTTTCCTTTTAAACCATCCATCACATATATGTCTGTTTTCTGATTCTTTTCCATAGTCTCTGTTTAAATCTTTAGTATTTAAAAAAAATGCAAGTTCGCTTTTCCCAGCTAAGTCCCATTCCTCTTTTTTTAATTTTTAATTTTATATTTTTTTATCATTTCCTTTTCTGTTGTCTGGGAAACCACTCTACGGGTAACCTGATTTCTCTCCAGACTTTTAGAAATACATGTATATTTTTCTATTTGGGCATATAGTATTCTCTGACTTGCTTTTTTTCTTTTAATCACTCTGCCTTAGAGATCTTTTGAAATGTGAATGAATTCCATCTTATTCTTTAAATGAAAACCCAGCAGTTTATGGATCTACCCTAAATTATTTAACTAGCTTCTATTGATTAGCATTTAAGCAGTTTTAACCCAAAATGTCCATGGTCAACTCCCTTGTTCATTTCCTCAAAAGCCACTCCAAATCTTCATTTGCAGTTCAAGGCTAATTGCTCCATTGTACCCTGGAAACAATCCATTCAGAGTTCCTTTATTCAGGGTTCATTAATTTTCCTTTCTGCTGTATCTTCAACCTGCCAAACATCTTAAATCCTTCCCTCCCTTTCTGTTGCCAGTGCTCTGGTTCACCCACTCCTGTCTCTTGTACAGACTAGTGCAGTAGACTGCCTACCGATCTTGCTGATTCCAAAAGCGAACTTGCATTTTTTTTTAATTATATTCACCTTGTACAGTCATGCTATTCACCTTGTTTCCCATACAAGGAGTGTGTGCTCATGTATTTGATAAGTTTGGAACATTAAAACAAGTTGATGTGTTCCTTACCCAAGTAATATGTAGATACCTGCTCCTTGTGAAAACATTAAAGCATTACAAACAGTACTATAAGTATTCTTTCACCACAGCCTCCAACCTCACCAAAAATAATGTCTACTCTCATAAGAAGTCACCACTGTTGGGGCGCATGGGTGGCTCAGTTGGTTAAGCATCTGCCTTTGGCTCAGGTCATGATCCCAGGATCTGGGAACGGGCCCCACGTCAGGCTCCCTGCTCAGTGGGGAGCCTGCTTCTCTCTCTCCCTCTGCTGCTCCCCCTGCTTGTGTGTTCTCTCTGTCAAATAAATAAATAAAATCTTAAAACTAAAATAAATAAATAAATAAATAATCTTTAGTATTGACACATATATATAAAATAGTCAAAGTCAGACCAACACTATTATTAATTAACTAATTAATCAATGAATCAATACATTCCATGTGAAGCATTCATTGAAATGCCTAAAATGTGCTAAGCACAATGCTTGATGACAAGTAAGCAAAGATAAGCAAGGTACAGTTTTGTTTGTAATGATCACACAATTTATTGAGAGACAGACCACAAAGACTATAAAACATGCAATTCTCTGTGCTAATGCAGAAACCAGGCATATAGAAGGTAAGAGTATTGCAGTCTTGCATGTTATCAACTCTGTCTGGGGTGTTATAAGCAATGCCACCCCATTAAGAGAGGTACTTCAGCTGGGTCTTAAAGAAAGGTGGGAATTTATAAATTGCGGAAAGAAAAAATAAGAAAGGAAACAGTTTATCTGGACAGAAGAACAGTGTGAGATGTGGAACAGACAGAATGTATGGAGGACTGCAAACTATCTTTTGTGTGTGTGTGTGTAATTTTTTTTATTATGTTATGTTAATCACCATATGTTACATCATTAGTTTTTGATGTAGTGTTCCATGATTCATTGTGTATAACACCCAGTGCTCCACGCAGAACGTGCCCTCTTTAATACCCATCACCAGGCTAACCTATCCCCCCACCCCCTCCCCTCTAGAACCCTCAGTTATTTAAAAAATATTTAAAAGACAAAATGTGAAACAATTTGAAAATTTCTGAATAAATTGAAAGGTGTTGACTTAATTCAGGTATTTTAATGTTAATGTATGGATTATGATAAAAAATGTTATGGAAATGTTGCTTGCAAAATTATATAGACATTAAAATTAAAGTATTATTATATTTATGTAATGTCAGGAAGGATTGACCTAAAAATAAAACACTGTTGGAGTGGAGGAATTTTGTATGGTTCCTTTTACAACTTGATAACTATCCCCTGCACAGGCATCACCACAGTGCTGACCATGACCACGCTCAGCACCATTGCCAGGAATTCCTTGCCCCGTGTGTCCTATGTGACTGCCATGGATCTCTTCGTGACCGTTTGCTTCTTATTTGTCTTTGCTGCTCTGATGGAGTACGCCACCCTCAACTACTATTCAAGTTGTAGAAAACCAACTACCACTAAGAAGAAAACATCGGTGAGTTCTGGTAGCAAAGATTTTCTGGGAAAGTAGTGGGAGGATAGTTTGCAATAAATGATCCTTATTCCTAAGGATCTTATACAATGTTATATAAATAGCTACTTCAAAAAGATGTCAAAAAAACAAGACAGATATTCTGAAGATATGAATATGACCCAAATGCACCTCTTCAGCTTCACCTACCAGTGACATGGATTGATGTAATCATACCTCAAAGATTGCTCTTAATGAAGGTGATCTATGATGCAGATTTCCAAAGAAGTTTTCTAATTATTTTTTTCTGCTTTTCTTGTAGTTATTACATCCAGATTCCTCAAGATGGATTCATGAGAGAATAAGCCTACAAGCCCCCTCCGTATGTATAGCATTGAAGGTGCAAATATTTCTGAGAACTCTTTTAAACTAAGATTGAATGATATGTTATTGTTTATGTATGCATGTATTGAAAAACAATGAGTAATGTATATAACCCCTTCAAAAATGTGTATACTTTTTAAATATCCAATTTGGAAAATAAAGGGAAAAATTAATCATAATCCTTCTACCTAAGGATTAGCATATATATACATATTCCTGTTTTTTAACTCAAAATATATTATGAATAATTTTCTATATTACAAATATTATTTTACAGAATCATTTTAATGATGCATTATATGTTCATGATTGATGCATAGACAATCTTGGTTGGATACTGGACTAATCCACACCTTCTCACTTTTATACATATTCTTATCACCACAGTTTTGTATAAACCTGTGACTATTAACTTAATATAAATTCCTAGAAGCAAAATGGCTGGGCCAAAAGGGTTGCTTGGCTCCATCAGCAGTGTGGAACACCCACCTCCCAGAACTCTCCCTGTACAGGTTTGATAGCCAAACAGAAAACTGGCTTCTGCAAACTATTCCCTTAGCATTTCTTTGATTACTGATAAAGTTGAATATTTTCGTTTGTTTATTTTTTATTTGCATTTCTGTTTTTGTGACTTGTTTTTATGTCTTTTGACTTTTATGAAAAATTTTTATATAACCTTTTTAATTTTTTTGTCTTTTAACTTTTTTAAAGTAACGATCTGCCAGTTACTTATACTATATATTATGTATGTTGTATTTTATATGACATAAAACTTATATAGTTACATACCGAATAATTAAGGATATTAATATGTTTTTTTGTTATGTAGTTTTAGTTCAGTTTAATCGCAATGTTGTCACTGTTCATTTCTTGTGCTTTTTCCGCACACATGGTTTTAAATCACCTTTGCCAAATCTATCAGTCTTCCCTTTTGTGGTCTCTGCATCTTGCTCAGAATGATCGAACTCTCCCTCACTTTCTTTTGAGCACTTACTTTTTTGGACACTATATTCTAAGTGTTTTCATGTATCAATTCATTTTATCCTCAAAACAACCCATTCTACTGATGAGAAAACTGAAATATGGAGAAATTAAGCTCTATAAATATTGGTTAAGTTTCAACAACTTACAATATTGTTATATTTAATTATTAATGCATCTGAATTTTTAGTATGTGGCTTGAGGTAAGAACCTAACTATTGAAAAATTGAGAAATGTTTTAAAATCGCTGATGTGGACTACCTTTTTTATTATATAACAAAATTTATATATAACTTGTATCTCTTTATACATTTCAATTCACTAATTACACTGAATGCTTTATGCCCACCCATACGTGGTTTTCTAATTGCTGATCAGTAATTTATGTTTAGTGCATTTCAACATACTTTTTCAAGGAGACTGCTTGGTTATCTATACTCTGCAAGTGCATCATTTTAGTTCTGACAGAAGGTGAGTGGTGAAGCCACTTTTACAGCTGTGGGAAGCCACAGAGAACATACAGATTTGTCAGCAAATGCTTCCAAATAGCAACAGACTGAAAAGTAATGGAAAATGTTGGGAATGGGGATGCTGTAACAGAGACAAGTCAGAACCAATAGCCTGAGGTCCAGAAAGCACTTTACCACACATAGCCAGGGGGCTGGGAGTGGAAGAAGAAATATTGACATTTTGGTATAGAAAAGATACTGCCAAAAGAAAGAATTTTTTAACATAGAGAAAAAAGAATTTTTCATAAAGCTATAAGAATTGTTTGTTGTTTTTTTTAAGAGGCAAAGTGTAATGGCCTTGAAGAAAGTACATAGAAAAACAATTCAGAGTGAAAGGCTCTAGGCCAGGTGAGAAGACACGGAGAGATCTTCAACAAAAGTTCATAAAACAGCCGAATAAAGAGTTTTCCAAGGTTGGGTGATAATTGTCAATGTCTTCAGTACTATTCTGAAAGATCCACAGGGATAGGCTGGTTAAAGGGCTGCTATCACCAACAGCCACAGAGATGAGCAGCTCTGAGCTGCTCAGGACAGGAGCCAGGTCCTACTAACAATCACATGTGCATGTTAGGGCAAGCTGTCTGAACATCTCTGTGCCTCAGTTTCCTAACATGTAAAATGCAAGGCTAACCACTTCATATGTGCAGTAGTACCTGCCACCCAGGAAGCATAGCATTTCCAGGGAAGTCATAGGACTGCATTATATATGCAGGCAAAGCAAGAATGAGTCACAGTCCCACCTGGCTGCAGGTGACCTTGAGGACTCAATAATTAAAATCTCCATTTTGAGCACAGTTTGAAATTTTTATGACAAATGAGAAGTATGCATTTAAAAAAGTATTTAAGCAATTTAACATATGGCTGCTTAGGGCTCTTAGCATCCTAAGTTTTATTGCAATATTATAAAATGCAATTAGTTTTATTTCAAAAGTGAGCTATAAAGATATAAATAGAACTCTCTTAATTATTAGATCAGGCTTGTATATGTTTCAACGATCGTAAGTTTTTAGTTTGTTAAATGAAGAAGTGAAATAGGGGTTTCTCTTGACCCCAGAAACCTTGCTGCTTATTTGCCTACAGCTCTTCTTGTCACCCTTTAGATCTTTAGTGAGCTGTCCCCACCCCTTCAGAGCCTTCTGATGCCTTTTCTGCGTCAACATCTTCCTTTAGGCCTGCTCTGTCAGTAATGGCTGGCTACTCATCTCTGTGTCACTACACAGGCACAGAGGTTTGAAGAAATAAAAAGATGAATATCTGACTGAAAACTGTCAAAACACACATGCAATTATTATTTAATAAAGGCAGATTTTTCAGATTGAAGCTTGTCAAAAAGATGCAGAATCTTCAAATGCAGCGAACTACATTTTTTTTTTCAGCAGACCCCTCCTGGTGATTTTTATACCCCTAGAAATGTGTCCACAGTAGAGCCTATAGAACAACAAAGTTTTTGTTTCTGTCCATTGCCCAGAATTGTGGAGGAAGGTAGAAGGCTGCATCATGACACTCTTGACTGGCCATTAAAAGGATGCCCCAAAGAGATGAGCCATGAGAGACTATGGACTCTGAGAAACAAAATGAGGGTTCTAGAGGGGAGGGGGGTAGGGGGTGGGTTAACCTGGCTATGGGTATTAAAGAGGGCATGTACTGAATGGAGCACTGGGTGTTATACACAAACAATGAATCATGGAACACTACATCAAAAATTAATGATGTAATGTATGGTGATTAACATAACATAATAAAATTAAAAAAAAACTATTAAAAAAAAAGGATGCCCCAATAGGCTACCAGTTGTGAGGCTGCATGCTCTACACTTTTACCTGCTTTCCTCTGGTTTTTGACTCCAGACTTCTATGGACATATTCAATTTAACATCCATAAGAAAAAGGAAAGGGGCACAGTGTTTCCTTGTAACAATTGTAACAATTGTTTTTGATAAAAATATAGTTGATCCTTAAAAGAAATACAGTTAACCCAATAATGTAGGGGTTAAGGGTGCCGACCCCCAACACATGCAGTCAAATATCCGTGCAGTCAATAACTTCTGACTCCCCAAATACTTAACTACTCATAGTGTACTGTTGAGTGGAAGCCTTACCAATAATATAAGTAGTTGATTAGCATATATTTTGTATGTTATATGTATTATATACTATATTCTTACATTAACATAAGATTGAGAAAAATGTTATTAAGAAAATCATAAGGAAAAGTAAATACATTTGCAGTACTGAGCTTATATTTATTGGAAAAAAAATATCTGCCTATAAGTGGATCTGCACTGTTGAAATCCATGTTGCAGGGCCAACTGCATAAGAGATACTCAAGATGCTTTCTAATGAGTTCTGAAAGGTCTCTCTCCCCGCAAGGGACAAAGGATCTGGCCAGCCAGCTGAGAACTGGGTTTGTGCATCCTCTTCTCCCTTGATTTCAGGCTCCACTGCTTTCACTGGCACACTTCAGTCCCTCAGTTCAACCAGCACAAATAACACTAAAGCAGAAAGGCAACTATGATTTTTATTTCTTTCACATTATTCACTCAAATTTAGAAATATATCCTCTTGACAGACTTCAATTTAATACATAATTCATAGTTATTTTGAAGAACTCAAACAAGTGTCTGAAGAATTGACAAGTCTGCTGCTATTAAGAATGCAAATCAGGGTCTTGAAGAAAAGGGCATATTCACATAGACATCTTGGAGCTGGACTCATATTCCCAGGTCTTTTTCCCTACATCATTCCCGCTCTTCAACTTGGTCTATTGGGTTGGATACCTGTATCTCTAAATGTTGCTATGGTGATGAGTGAAGAGCACTTTACCTTTCACCCTTTGAGAAGCCACTTCTCAAAGTTTAAGAGTGATTCCTCTCATTTATGAGTGAACATAAGTCATCCTCTCTCCTTTACCTGCCCTACAGTCACTTTTCCACATCAGAAGGAGAGCTTGGGAAGTAGAAAATAAAACATTCCAATTGTACACATTTTTGGCTGTGACTCTTGATATGACAAGTGGTGTCTGGCCACCACACACTGAAAGCTAATTTTTTACATAAATTACATGGAACAAGAAGATTCTCTCATCATTCTTATATAGCACAGTTTTTACTATTTACTACTTAGGTAAAAAACAAATTTATCTCTCCACATTTTAAATGTACTGCTTAACACTTAAGGGTTTGTAGACAATATGTACATATTTACTCCCAATCAATCAAAAAGTAGGCAGAACAGAGACTTGAAATGGTTAATACACATCTGAAAATGTGCTCAGCCTCCCTCATCAATAATCTGAGATATGCAAGTTTTGAAAACTGCACTGTACTCTTTTTGCATTAAATTTGCAAATATTGAATTGGCAGATTGAACTCTCAAAGATCAAACTGTCCAGTACAGAGATGGGGGATGTGTGGGAAGGGGCATGGCATTATTCTATTTATCTAAAGGACAGACATAACATACACCTATTGCTTGATTCACCTTGGGCTGTACTTATTGTATTTCATGATGATTTTTGTGTTGTTCTTGTTGCCTACAGAACTATTCTCTCCTCGACATGAGGCCACCACCACCTGCAATGATCACTTTAAACAATTCTGTGTACTGGCAGGAATTTGAAGATACCTGTGTCTATGAGTGTCTGGATGGCAAAGACTGTCAGAGCTTCTTCTGCTGCTATGAAGAATGCAAATCAGGATCTTGGAGAAAAGGGCGTATTCACATAGACATCTTGGAGCTGGACTCATATTCCCGGGTCTTTTTCCCTACATCGTTCCTGCTCTTCAACTTGGTCTATTGGGTTGGATACCTGTATCTCTAAATGTTGCTATGGTGATGAGTGAAGAGCACTAGGTTTCCCTCTTTACCTTTCACCCTCCCCAGACCAGTAGTGACCAACTGCAGTAGGAAGGAAGGACACTGCTCAATTTATCTGAAGTTATACATTACCTTTGAGCAGTACAGGAGTATGTGGCAAATATTTCTATTATGTATTTCACACTCACACACATGTGTGCACACACACATTAATTGAGTCTTAAAGTGATATTCTTGCTAATCCCTTATTAAATCTGTAGCTTGGTGATGTTTATGAATGGTTCTTGGATATTGAAAGCAGTTGCCAATTGTTGCCAAGAAATCTGTAAAACATGCAAGCAAATAGCCAAGAAGATCTCTCAGGCCAAGACCCCTTCTATAACTTTCCTTTGCAACCCTTGGATGTACCAGTGCCCACATTCGTGGAGCCACTGCTTGCTGGTACACACTCATGCTGACCTAAGCCCCATGTTCTTGGGCAGTCTGAGTTCAAATGTGAACTGCAGTGAGTTTTGACCCAGTTTCCTCTCCCTGTGTCCTCTTTTACACTGGCACCATCATTGTTACTTAGCATTCCTTTATCAAATAATTTCACCCTAGGCTTGGGAAGGGTGTATATGCATCCACAAGTTTCCAGTTGAGAAAAAAATAGGATTTTAAAAATTCTCATGTTGCTGAATTCAATGATGTTTATTGCCTCTGAACATCAGTTACCACTTTATTCCAAACTACTGAGAGTCAGCAGTATTTTTAACTTTGGGTTCTGGGACTACTTCAGCTGGAGTTCAACATTTTACCTTAGTTGTGTTTTACTAGACCAAAACACTACCCCAGAGTATGCGTCTTGCTTATGCTATGCTATTACAGGGTCAGTGATTATCTTCATCTTGCAAAGACAGATATATAGCATTCACAAGATTTTGTCTTGAAAATGCTTTCCAGAGTGTGAAAGAAATGTAGATAGAATTTAAAACTTGCTTAGGGAACATTAACTTTCAAGTCAAATCAACCTTAGATGCAAAAACAAGGGCAATGGCTATCATCAATGATATATTTTGATGAACAAAAATTATTTTATACTTTGAAATATGAATACGTAGCAAAATCCCAAAGAAAAGAATCCCCTGAAATTATTACTCTTTTGATATTTTTATAACACAAAACTAACTTGCTTCTTGATGTTAGTTCTTTGTTATGACTGGATGCCAGTATGTACTTCACAAGACTCTTCAGAAGCTTCCCACCATTGATAGGGAAAAAGAAAGTCCTATAGTTCATTAATAATGCTTTGGCATTATTAAAATTTTGGTACTAAAATTTTGGTACCAGTATCTCTGTGCTTCTCATTTTTCTCACCCAGAAAACTGAATTAATTTTATTGGAAACCATATAATTTTATTTTAATTATCTATTGTAAATATGATTATTACTCAGAAAAAAAGGTAAAATAATATACAGAGAGAATATATAAAAGTACTGATTTCACACAATTTACTGGATGCAGACCAGACAGAAGGGGAGGGGAGTGGAAGAGGCTAGAAAAGTAAAATTAGATGAATCTGTTTACTTTTATGAACATCATTCATATCAAGTAAATGCAAGTATATTGGGATACGATCACCCAGTTTTCAAGGACTTAGTCTATAAATAGTGTGAGATATTCAAGCCCATTGCTTTTCTTCCTGTCAACTCCCTGCCATTTGATTTGAAAGTTGCTACATAGGCCACAAGCCAATTGGGTTCGATCTGGCAAATTCAGCTTAAAATATAAAATAACAATAAATATTTGTGGAGAACCAGGTTGAACCTATTGGCTTAATAAAATTTCTATTCTATTGGAGAATTTCACCTCCTAGCATCCTTGTTCTGTTTCTTATGCATAAACCACCCTCCCAACCTGGCAGTGGTAGTTTGGAGGCATCCCGACCAAAGGAATTTCTCCATGTCCCACCAAAGCATTGAGTACCCATGGAAGGTGGCCCAAGGTCAGTCTTCTTCAAACATAATTTTCAATTTTATGAATTTATAATATCTAAATATGAAGAATTTCAACCCGTTATGTCTTTTAAAAAGTTCTGGAGGGAAATGAACTTTCTAGTGAAATTCTTCTTGGAAGGAAAATAAACTTAGAACACTTTTATAACATAAGTTTGGCCCAATTTTACCTTTAACATTTTATTGATGCTTCTTGTTTCAAAGCCACTTAATATTTGGGTCTCATTGGCAACTCTTATGAAATTATATATATAGGATATACGTATCAATAACCTGTTTTCTGAATCCAACCATTCTCTTCTCCCTGACCTCAGTCATCCTGCTGATCTAAACACATTAGTTATCATTCATTTTCCATGAAGGGAAACTTTCATCTCAAGAGAGTCTAATAGATGTTCACTCACAACGTGTAAAATACATTTCTGTACATACAGCAATCTACCCACAATGGGTTCTGACTAAAAAGAACTCAGACATCCCTTCAGAACACATTAATGTCAGTTTCTCCACAGCCTTGCCTGTTCAAGTTCTCTTTATCAATTTCAACTCCTGAGATGAGTCTTCAGTCCACAAATAGAGGAGAGTGGCATGTACCTCATGCAGATGCAGAACTCAGGGGCTTGCTTACTAAGTATGTATGAGTTTACCTTTAGGAGAAAGGAAGAGGAGAGGCACAGGAAGAATGTGAGGGAAATGTATCACTCTTAAATTGAAGGACTCTCTTTCACCAGTATGCTTGGTTAGTAGGGTTTGTGTAAGGTGTATGGATGTAAGACTGTTCTGCACAGACCCAGCACCCTTACAGCTCTGCGCAGCTTGCTTTGCATTTAGACTTGAGAAATACTTTTGTGGTTTTGTGGCAGCTGGTGGGGAAGTTGTCTGAGTGACTGGTATCCTAAAGGTGCTACTGTGTTCCTTACTTTCAGAAATACTGTAAATTGGAGAAATGAGAGTTCTGTATTTTGAAAAGGATTTCTAATTTCTTACCACTGTGGATCATACTTACAACTGTGACTGTCTCTCCTTTAGGATGCATCCAGCTTGAGAGATAAAGAGAAGGCATTTCACATTAATGGAATTAGAGAAAAATGCCTCTTCAGAGCCTAGAAAGTACAGTCTGTACAAAGTCTCAACACCAATGACCAGAGGAGAGATTCTCAGGTACTGGACAGAGAAGGAAAATGTTACTATAATTTACTCTGGACCCAGCCAATACTGACCCTAATTTGCCCAAAATATGCCTTACAGTAACATATAAAGCTTATATCATACACATCTTATAGATTTTCCATTTCCTGTGATCACATGTATTTCATGCCAGGTTTTTTTATTGTTTATGAATGGATGGAGACAGCATTTTCATTTTTTTATGTGCCAAGCAGTCTTATCCTTAATTGTCTATCAATCAGTTAAGAACACAGTTTTTGTGGCTTCAATTGGAAAAATGCTTGTTCTCCATGGCAAAGTATTTTCAGGCTACATAAGGGAAATTGGAGCCTATCTAAAAGTCAGTGACATAGTACTTATGATGGGATATGAGTGTCCACATAGAATCTTCACACCAAGTCTTTTTTACCTAGCCATAGCTTGCTGCAGTAAAAGTGTCTAGACATATTTTTGCTGCTCTGCAAAATATCACAGTCTGCAAGCAAAGGTGGGTAATTGACAACTCCATTTTGCATTAACAAATACTTGCCACAACTAGGAAGCAACACACTCTTTATCTAAAGGGCTAGAAAACAAGACAAACAAAACCTCTTCTTCCTTGATCATTTTTTATCTCAGCTGCCAGTAACTGAGAACTTTCTGTGATTTACTTGCAAACTTGAAGAATTATAACTGGTTTCTAACCATTATACTTACCACTATATGAGATCAAAATTCTCAAGACACAAAGCACCTTGAAATCTCTCCATAATCTTGCAACTGTCTGCTTTTTCTGAAAGTTTATGAACGATACACATATGAAGTTTCATCATCAATTTCTGTAAAAAAGAAAAGTTAGTGAATGATTTGGGATAAACATAGATATAAATATACATTGAAATGTTTATGATTAGTCTTGGGCTTCAGAACACTATTGTTTTTAAAATATTCAGAAGGGGTCTGGAAATAAGGAGGGGAAACAGACTGTAAATACACTGTAAATGTGAAATTCACAATTTTCTGTTGAGTCCCCTTCAAATTGCCCAAAACTGAGGAAGTATGCAATCTGTACATGTTTCTTTCTCTCAAATTTGCCTGTAGGAAACCTTCAGGTTCATATGGTTTAGAAGTACCTCCAAATTGTATAATAACATCCAAAGAACCAACCAAAAAAGAACAATTCAGGCTAAATGACAAATCCCTTCTTTTAATTCCTTCTTGACTTACTTTTTACTTAAAAATAAATTTCTATCATTATAAGGAGAAAACATGTATATGTTGAGATAACAGGATAACAACTCAGACATTCATATCTCTGGGAGAATAAAAACTTGGCTTTTTAAAAATGTCTGATGGTTTTGAAGACTAGAGACTAGAGCACTTCGAATCCTCCTTTTAAAATTTCTTCTGATTACAACTCAGCAATTCTAGGCTATAAGCCTGGTCTAGTTCTAGTAAAGTCAAAAGACAGACTGTTCCCTACTATTTGTTTGTTTGTTTGTTTGTTTCAAAATGTCCTTTAGTTAAATGATGCTTTGGTTTTTAATGTTGGCAATAAAATACCTTAAGCCTCTTATTACTCTGCTCACATAAAAAAACAAATTTTAGACTAGTTTAAATCAGTGTTAAAAATTAGTTGAACAGTCACTAACAAGTTTTCACTGTTTTGAGCTAATCAAGTAGGTTTTTCAGATTGTATAATATAGGAACATGAGCTAGAAAATTAGGAAGACCAAACACACAAACGTGTACACACACACACACGTGCATACACACATACATACTTCCATACACACACATGCACACACACAAAGCAAACACTGCTTGAATGCAACATTCAGGTAATTGAAGGAAATGTAAATTGTTGTACTTGAATTATTCAGATAATGGCCTACTTTCACCACTTTATTTGTCGAATTTGTAATCACAACACAGTTTTCCCAGCCCAGTGGACCAGCTCCACAAAGTGAGGGTGATAATGGTTCCTGCAGGGAAGTAAGGTCCTCTATGTCTGTTGAACAGTTTAAACTCAACAGATTGGAAAGAATAGTGAAGATTGATTGTCAGT